TCAGTAGAAGGAAGACCTTTCTCTCTGTCTCCTCTCCCTCCCACTGCCTAACTCTATCTCTCAAGTAAATAAATAAAATTTTAAAAATAAATAAAAATAAAAATAGAGTAAAAGCTACTGTTGCCTCTTCCTCTGCAACCTCAGAGTCCCCAGTCAGACTGTCAGCTCTGGGCCACTACACTGCCTTTCCATGAACCTCACAGCAAGCTTCAGGCTTTGCATAAAAAGAACATTCATGCCTTTCCCCACCTCACCCAAGCCAATCAGTAATCAGCCTTCAACTGGTAAAGAAAAATACATTTTTGCAAAAAAAAAAAAAAATTAAGCGATCAATTGCTTACAAAACTCAAGAACGACTGCTAAGGATGTGAGCTAGAAATACCACAAAATGACCAAAGAATGACTCAGAAGGCTATATAATGTTCTCGAGTCCTCCAGCACAACCAGAGATTCCAGCAACCTCTGCCCTCTTCATGTTGTCGTTCCAGCCCCGGAGGACCACTGTACTGTGTTCCTGCTGTGTGGCCATCCTATCCCACAAGAGGTAGCAGGCCTGCTACTCAGGCCAACCACTATGCAGCAGAGGAGACGAGCATCTAGTGTGCACCTACTGTGTGCCAGGCACTTTCCAGACCTAAGCAATAGTAGTAGATGAGAGGAGGGCCCTGGAGGGAGAGAGAAAACGTTTGAATGTATCTTCCCTCTTGGTAGCTGAGTCACTTGACTGCTGCACCTCACTTTGCTTATCTGTAAAATATAACAGTTCAGATCTTGTATAGCGTGTGTTGAAGACTGCATTACACAACTGTCAAGTGCTTTGCACAAGGCTTATTGGCTATTACTAGCATCACTGTCATCATTACAGTTCCATTATCTCACATTCACTTGTTGGGCCAGCTCAGGAAAAGGTCAGAATGAACAGCACTCCCTTTCAGATAGAAATCAGCTCGGCTCAGGTTCATCCCGAGAGCCTCTCAGGAGAGTGAATCATTGCGTTCGTCTAGAAGAGGCCCTGACCCCAGCAAGAGTCTGAGTGGACCTCAGGGCCCAATGCGCTAGTTGCTCTTAACCTTAGCAATATATTTCCAAATTGGTCCAGACAAAAGTCCTTGTTGTGCATTCTAAGCAGGTTTTTCAAACAGGTTTCCATCACACATGTAGGCTTGTGCCACTTTAGAAATCTGTGACACTGGTCAGATGATGGATGGTTCTAAATGGAACCGCATAAGAATTGTGGCTGGAATAACTGATGCCCTCCTCCTATGCTGCTATTAAATGGATGAAAATGCATCTTTAAAATGTCTCATCAATGATGGGTCAGTTGCAAAGTTTAGAACAAAATTGGAATTGGCCTTTTATGGCCGTTCAAAAGCAGACAGATAGTATCTGCAATTACTTGCTTCTTTGCAATTATGGAATTGCTGCTGCTTCCCCCCGAGGAAGGTGGCCTGGAGCAAACTGTGCCAGCTGTTTCCAGAATACTCCATGTTTGTACTTTTACTCCCCACACACACTCCAAAAAGTTCCAGGAGGAACTAAACAGAAACAGACAGATGCAAAAATCAGGTCTCTGACGCATACAGCTTGGCCCACAGAAATCCAGATCCCTGCCCTCCCTTTTTACTCAACTAAATGTACAATGTTTAACTCTTGTCTTATTTGACCCTCCCAAACATTTTCTGAAGCGTTTACATGCTTGGCCTCAGAGCTTAATTAGAAACTGCCTTATCACAGGCCCCAGAACTCCTGCTCACCAGGTCCTCTTGGCATCTTCGTGGCTTCTCTGCCTCCCTCTGCTTTAGAGTTTCATCTTCACCTGCCCTCTTCATTTATATTGTGGTGTTAGTGGCTGGTGGTGTGGGGCAGCGGGTTAAGCCACTGCCTGCAATGCTGGCATTCCATATTGGACTATTGGTTTGAGTTCCATATGCTCTGCTTCTGATCCAGTTCCCTACTAATGCACTTGGGAAAGCAACAGAAGATGGTCCAAGCACTTGGACCTCTACCATCCATGTGGGAGAACCAGAGGAGTTCTATGCTCCTGGCTTTAGCCTGGCCCAGCCCTGGCTGTTATGGTCATCTGGAAAGTGAACCAGCTGGTGGAGGACCTTTCTCTCTCTCTCTCTCTCTCTCTCTCTCCCTCCCTCCCTCCCTCCCTCTCCTTTTTAAATACAAAATTGCATGCATACATACATACATACATAAATCTATACTCCCCAGGGTGCCTACCTTCACATCACTCTGTAGCATAGATAATCACGTGACATATACTGCCTTCTACTGAGGGAAATTGAAAATAAATGGTGTCCTTAGTTAGAGAGCATTCTAAAAACTTAAATGTGACTTTAAAAATAAATATAAGCTCATAGACTTTCAAAGGCATTTACACACCTAAAACAAAAAACTAAAGTGAAACCTCTCAAACAGGAGTTGGGAAAGTCCAACCCATGGGCCATTCTCAGGCCCACAGAATCATTTGGTCTGCCCCGGCCAAGGCAACAGCAAGCTGGATTCAAAATTCAGTAAGTCTATAGCAGACTAATTTTAAGTTGATCATTATGTACGGCCTGCAAATGATGTCATACATATCCAGATGGCCTTGGCAGAGAAAGATGTTTCCCACCCCCTCTAGAAGAGAGCAAGGACACAGGCACGTGGGACTCAGCCAGTGGGAATGCAGACTGCTTCCTGAAAGCAAGCTAGCTGTCGCTATCACAAAGTCCTTAAAATGGTCACACAATTCAATGCAGCACCTCAATTTCCACGTAATAATTAAAAATATGTGCTACTATTTATCATAAAGCTCAATTTAAAATGTATTTGAGGGGCAGGTGTTTTAGCACAGTTGTTAAGATGCTGATTGGGACACCCACATCCCATATCAGGGTTTCTGGGTTCAAGTCCCAACTCTACTCCTGATTCCAGCTTCCTGCTAATGCAACCAAGTAGCTGGGTCCCTGTCATCGATGCAGAAGATCTGGATTGAATTCCCAGCCCTAACTATTGCAGATAGTTGAGGAGTGAACCAGCATGTGAGATCTCTCTCACTCTCACTATTGCTCTCTCTTCTTGCCTCTGAAATAAATTAAACAAATAAATGTTTAAAAACATTTGAAATAGCTAAAAATAGAAAAAAATTAAATAGTTCAGTAAATCTCAAAACATATGTACTTTTTTTTTTGACAGGCAGAGTTAGTGAGAAAGACAGAGAGAAAGGTCTTCCTTCCATTGGTTCACCCCCCAAATGGCTGCTACGACCGGCACTCTGCACTGATCTGAAGCCAGGAGTCAGGTGCTTCCTCCTGGTCTCCCATGTGGGTGCAGGGCCCAACGACTTGGGCCATCCTCCACTGCCTTCCTGGGCCACAGTAGAGAGCTGGATGAAAAAGTTAAAAATAGCATATACAGTAGGACCTCAACTCTTAATATATATATTTCAAACAAGAGGAGGAAAATGAAAAGAAGCCACACTCCATGTTAATAACAATTATTTATTGATGTTAAAAAATGAGTTGGGGCCGGTGCTGTGGCATAAAAGGTTGGGCCTCCACCTCCAGTGCCAGCATCCCATGTGGGCACTGGTTCGAGTCCTGGCTATTCCACTTCTGATCCAGCTCCCTGCTGGTGTGCCTGGGAGGGCAGCATAAGATGGCTGGGGTGCTTGGGCCTCTGCACCCCTGTGGGAGACATGGGGAAGGTTCCTGTCTCCTGGTTTCAGCCTGGCCCAGTCCTGGCTGTTGTGGCCTTTTGGGAAGTGAACCAGTGGATGAAAGATCTCTCTCTCTCTCTCTCTCTCTCTCTCTCTCCCCTCCCTCTGTATATCTGACTTTCAAATAAATAAATAAATAAAATCTTTAAAAAGAAGAAATATGAGTGATTTATATTATATTCTTTGGGCATTTCTAAATTTTCAAAATGTATTAAAATAGCATGAATTATCCTTGTAATAGGAAATATATAATCCTTTTATGAAAAAGGCTCTGAGAGGAGAGAGGCCACGTTAATACAGATGACACTGCAGCCATTCTCCTAGATTCCTGCCTTGTAACTCCTGTAAGAAAGGCCTTGGGCACAAGGACTATTTGAAATAGAGTATTCAAATGGAGATGCATTTGATTCAGCAGACTTAAATCCAGGTTGAAGCCACTGTAGAGACAAATTAGATGTCTGTGGCTTCCTTATCATAACTTTACCTAGATAAAGAGAACAGCACCAGGCTGAATCCAGGATTTGTCAGAAGTAAGACAGGGAGTGTAGAGGCAGAAGCTCTGCCTCTGGAATTAGAGGAGCATGATGGACATCCCCCTCCCCCAAAACCATCTGGCAAACTGGAGGTGAATGACTTCGATTCTGGAAACTTGGTTTTTTGGTTTTTTTTTTTTTTTTTTTTTTTTTAATTTGTGAAATAAGGAAAAATTTGTTTGACACAGGGCAGAATTAGGTTACAGTTGGACCCTACTTTCCATGGGTTCTGTATCTGCAAATTTATTTGCTGAAACGGATTTGCAGCCCCCAAATTAATATTCCCTGCACGTTCCTGGCCATTTGAAAACATGCACAGGGCAGGGAAAGGTCAAGACCTCACCAGCATGTTCCCAGCTGAAGTTGAGCAAACTGACCCACCGCTTCCTTGTTACAGTTCTCACCATCTATTTAGTGCTACACTTTTCACCTTTTATGCTCTTTGTTGGGATTTTGCTGTGTAAAATGGCCCCTTGGTACTGTGGAAGAGCTGCCCAGTGTCTAAGTGCAAGAAGGTTCTGATGTGCCTTGTGGAGAATATTCATGCATAGGAGAAGCTCCATCAGTCGAGGGTTCCAGTGCTGTTGGCCTGAGTCCCGTGTTAATAAATCAACAATACAAATATATGTTAAACTGATGTCTTTAAACAGAAACACACACAAAAAGAACAAGGTTATGGTATCAACCACCAGACATCATGTTCTGAGACTCACAGCAGTCTAACCTAATTAGTAAGAATTGGTTGTCTATACACTTACCCACGCTTTCCACATGCATAGTAGATGTTATGTAACACCTAGAATTGAAAAAAAAAAAAAAAAACAGTGTGATGAATGCTTGTTGAATGCACTTAAGATTGCCTCAAACAGAAAGAGCAAGTGTCATAGACACCTGTTCTTCACCCAGCAGTGAGCTGTGCTTTATGAAAAGCCTTCAACATCCCTGTCATCTTTGTGGAAGATCTACACAAGGTTCACAATCTTTTTTTTTTTTTAATGCCTGGACTACAGCTGCTTGCAATAACCATTAATCCTTTTTTCTCACAGACCAACCCAGCCTTCAATAACCAAACACTCTTCAGAAGCAGACTATATACAACATCTTCAAGATTGTGTTTTGGTCTAAAGCTAATTACTGATTCCATTTTAAAAGATTTTGGGGCCTGGCAGTGTGGTGTAGTGGGCTAGGCCTCTGCCTGCGGTGCCGGCATCCCATAGGAGAGCCAGTTCTAGTCCTGGCTTCTACACTTCCAATCCAGCTCTCTGCTATGGCCTGCGAAAGCTATAGAAGATGGCCCAAGTCCTTGGGCCCCTGCAATTGTGTGGGAGACCTAGAAGAAGCTCCTGACTCCTGGTTTCGGATCAGCTCAGCTCCAGCCATTGCCGCCATTGGGGGAGTAAACCAGAGGATGGAAGACTTCTCTCTCTGTAACTCTGCCTTTGAAATAAATAAGTAAGTAAGTAAGTAAATAAATAATAAAAAAAGAGAGAGAGATTTTCATCCTTTGTGGGTGGGGGAGGCTTAAGCAACTTTTCAGCGCTATCTGTTCTCCTGAAGAGGATACAGTCACAATTTATATGTCATTCATTATAAAGATGTACTGATTTTATAAAATGCAAAGTCGGTATTTCTGAAGGAGAAGAAAGGAAAGAAATCATTTAAAAAGAAAAGGAAATACCGATAACCTGAAACTGAAAACATCAGACAGATTCAAGCTGAAGAGCATTCTACAAAATATCAGTACCCCTGAAAAGCTGCGGTGTCACCCAAAGGAAAGATACAGAGGAACACTAACGAGCAATGAGGACAACACAATGCAGTGGTCAACCCTGGGCTGGATCCTAAAACAAAACAAACGATTAGTGGAAAACTGAAGAAATTCAAAGTCTGTAGTGTAGCTAAGAATGTATCTATGTTAATTTTTTATTTTACTAATTGTATCTTGCTATGTTCAGTGTTAACATCATGAAAAGCGGAACGAACATGCTGTGGGAAATCTCTGTAACATAGTTGCAACTCTTCTCCAGAGCCAAAATTCAATCCAGAAAAGTTTTGAAAAAGAGAGATGGGGAAAGGAGGAAATAGTAATGGAAGAAAGAAATGGCTCAGTATTGAGAATGTAAGCACTGAATTAATGGTTGGAGGGAGAGGTTGACACACAAATAGGCAAATTCCTTGCAGACCATGGGGAGCCATCATTCTCGAAAACAATTTATGGGAAGTAGTTCTTTAACAGTTCTACAAGGAAAGACTACTCTCCCCAGAGCCTTTAAATTCCTGGCTCCTGGAACACTTCTCAAATCACCCTCAGTACTGAACACAACCTCTTGTGTGCCACTCAACGTACAATGGTCTACACAAAAGAGTCACACAGAGGGACTGGATTCGGCAAACACCAAGCCTACTTGGGAAACCGTATTTATCTAGAAACTTAGCAAAGGGGTCTCTGTGTGACCTGGTAATTTTTCTCTGGACATGAACTCTGTCTGAGGGACAGGGGTCTTCAAATGTCTTTTTGGAAAACATGAGTCCTAGAGTCCCAATGACTTATCATTATGTGACCATAGTAATTTTAGGTTACTGTTATTACAGGTTATAATGCCCCCACCAAGTTTCTTTGAAGGCTCTTGGCTGTTTAAAATCCTGAATTTGTGTAATTACTAGAAACCACAATGGATGTCATACAAAGGACAGGAAGCTGCTTATCCCTTCCTGAAGAATTGGGGCATATTATTCTGAAATATTGGGAAATTTATGTTCTTCTCTACAAATTCCTTGATTCAGCCCTTGCTGATAGCCAGCTGATTGGCAGAATACACTAAGTGCTTACAAAGCTCTGACTTTCCTCTGTACCACTGCTACAGCTTGAGCAAGATTTGGCTCCCAAATTCCTGCGGATGTTAAACTCCAAAGTCATAAGTTAATAACACTGAGAGGGCAGAAGCAATCCAATTAAGGACATTAAAGGCAGGACATAGTGGGAGGTCCTTAGGTCATTGTGGGCATGGCGTTAGACAGTAATTCTTGGAAGAGGAATGTTACTAGTGCCTACATTGGGCTCAGCTGCTCTCTCTCTCTGCTTCCTGGCTCCCAATGTGATTCTTCCTCTGCTTACGCTCTACCATTGCCAACCTCTGGCCTGACCAGAGAGACAAACAAATAACACCAGCCTACTCTTGCACTGTGAACCTCTAAAACCATTATCCAAAATAAATCTTCTTCCTTGATAAGCAGTTCACTTTAGGCATTTCATTGCAGCAACAGAAAGCTGACTAAGGGGCTGGCACTCTGGCGTCGCAGGTAAAGCCACCGCCTTCAGTGCTGTCATCCTATGTGGGTGCTGGTTTGAGTTCTGGCTGCTCCACTTTTGATCCAGCTCTCTGTTATGCCCTAGGAAACAGTATAAGATGGCCCAGATCTTTGGGCCCCTGCACCCACATGGGAGACCCAGAGGAACCTCCTGGCCCCTGGCTTTGGACCAGTGCAGCTCCAGCCATTGCAGTCAACTGGGGTGTGAACCAACAGATGGAAGACTTCTCTCTCTCTCTCTCTCTCTCTCTCTCTCTCTCTCTCTCTCTCTCTCTGCTTCTCCTTCTCTCCGTATAACTCTGCCTTTCAAATAAATAAATAAATCCTTTTTTAAAAAGTTAATACAGTACCTGTATGACTTTAAAACAATACATGTGATCATAAGAAACCCCAGCATTTATTAAGCTATTATTCTGTTCCAGGCCTTGTATTAAGCACCTAAGGTATGGTATCTCTTATAATTATCTCCACACGTCCTGAGTAAATACAACGATGGTCCATCACTTGAATGATGCAGGAATCAAGGCTTTATGAAGTTAAGTCACATTCTACATATTCCAGGACTAATAAACATGAGACATTAAACAAAACTGCACTGGCACTAGAGCTTACTAGAAACTGTACTTTGATAAACCCCTAGGATTCCCTGTGGCCCCAATTTCTGTACCAACATGGTCTCTATGAGATGCTTTCAGGTAGAATGAAGTTCCACCAAACCATAATAGTCCTCTTGAACCCCCTACCATCTCCCTAAATACACTGCTTGCTCAGAAAGCTGAAAATAGACAACATGACCCAGCAATCCCACTCCTGAAAATTTATCCAGAGGAAATAAAATCAACATATTAAAAAGTGATCTGTACCTTCACGTTTATTGCAGCTCAATACACAATAGCCACGACATGGAAGTAACCCAGATGCTCATTAATTGATAACTGGATAAAGAAATTATGATATATATATATATATACACTATAGAGTACTACTCAGCTGTAAGAAAGAATGAAATCCTGTCTTTCACAACAAATTATATTAAACTGGAAACCATTATAACTTAGTGAAATAAGCCAGTCCCCAAAAAGACAAATACCATATATTCTCCCTGATCTATGGTAGCTAATACAGTACCAAAAATTAATGTATAGGAGTGAAATTGACATTTTGAGATTTGATGATTGTTCAAAGTCCTTGTCTCTACTGTTGATGAACAGTTTTTTTTTTCTTACTATTTTTTGAATGCTTTACTTAATGTAGGGCAATGTCAGTACCACAATTGGAGGCCCCAAATGTGAAGGAGGGTACACTGAGAAATTACAGAAGTAATTTAGAAAACAATCCACACTTCTTTTCCCTGCCTCCCTCTATAACTTAAGAAGTGTTCATGTAGACGGTTTATATCAGTAATTCTCAGACTTTAATGAGCACATATACTGAGGATCTTTTTAAAAGCAGATTCTGGATCAATGAGATTCTACACATACAAGAAGCTCACAGGAGATGCTAATGGTCTGAAGATCTCACAAGTAGAAAGGAGAGATTTTCTTTTATCATTAAGTTAATATGTTGGCTGGCGCCGTGGCTTAACAGGCTAATCCTCCGCCTTGCGGCGCCGGCACACCGGGTTCTAGTCCCGGTCGGAGCGCCGAATTCTGTCCCGGTCGCTCCTCTTCCTGTCCAGCTCCCTGCTGTGGCCTGGGAGTGCAGTGGAGGATGGCCCAAGTGCTTGGGCCCTGCACCCCATGGGAGACCAGGAGAAGCACCTGGCTCGTGCCTTCGGATCAGCGCAGTGCGCAGGCCGCAGCACACCGGCCACGGCGGCCATTGGAGGGTGAACCAATGGCAAAGGAAGACCTTTCTCTCTGTCTCTCTCTCTCTCACTGTCCACTCTGCCTGTCAAAAAAAAAAAAAAAAAAAGGAAAGAAAAAGTTAATATGCACAAAGAGACTTGCTTTTACTTGGGTTAAAAATAAACCTGAGGGGCCCGTGCTGTGGTGTAGTGGGTAAGGCTGCTGCCTGCAGTGCCGGCATCCCATGTGGGTGCCGGTTCGAGTCCTGGCTGCTCCGCTTCTGATCCAGCTCTCTGCTATGGCCTGGGTAAGCAGTAGAAGATGGCCCAAGTCCTTGGGCCCCTGAACCTGCACGGGAGACCCAGAGGAACCTCCTGGCTCCTGGCTTCAGATGAGCACAGCTCTGGCCATTGCGAGTGAACCAGCGAATGGAAGACCTCTCTCTCTCTCTCTCTCTCTTCCTCTGTCTCTCTGTATCTCTGCCATTCAAATAAATAAATCTTTAAAATAAATAAATAAATAAACTGGAAATTGATGTTTGGAGGCTCAATTGGACTTTTGGTGTGTAATATGATAACTTTTAGCTTGTATGTCTATTTAAGTTTCAAGGATTTTAAATTTAATAAAATTTAAAATTCAGGTTATCAGTTACTCAGCACATTCTAAGTGCTCAACTATCACATATGGCAGGTGGCTACCATATTGGACAACATGGAAGAATGTTGCCATTATTCTCTTACGTTACTGAATGGTACTGGTTTGTTTATTACACAATATTTTTTAAAATATAAGGTTTATTCCACTTTGAAACAAATCAGAAAGTGCAATCTTGAAGTGTCATCTGTAAGATTCCAGCCATCTTTTCTTAGGAAAAACAAAACAAAGGTCAGGACAACATGATACCCACTAATAAAGGAAGCTTACATTCCTTCTTCCCAGCAAAGGGCAGCACAGCCCAACCTCAGATGGAACATGACATTAATGGGCCAAGAGGGAAAGATGAGGACAGAGGAGAGGGAAGCTAAACAGAGCAGGCACGGTGCACTGCATGCTTTATGCCAAAGCCAGCTCATTACCCTGTGCTCTTATCAGTCATCTTCTCACCTCGTGGGGAAATTAATACTAGGGAGAAAAAAGTATAGGTAAGATGGGCACACTTTATGTTCAGCCCTACATGAAATACTTAGCTCTGATCACACTATACAAGCAACAACTAACAAAACAAAGGATTGTTAGAGTTCTCCAGAGGAACACAACCATGGTGTGTGTGTGTGTGTAGACAGAGAGGGAGAAAGAGGGGGATAGAGAGAGAAATGAGGGTACTTCAAACAGCTTAAGAAACAGAATTAGGGCTGGCGCTGTGGCATAATAGGCTAAACTTCCACCTTGGTGCTGGACTCCCATACGAGCACTGGTTTGACTTGGCTGATCCTCCTCTGATTCAGCTCTCTGCCATGGCCTGGGAAAATAGTAGAAGATGGCCCAAGTGCTTGGGCCTCTGTATCTGTGTGGGAGACTTAGAAGCTCCTGGTTCCTGGCTTCAGATCTGCCCAGCTCTGGCCATTGCAGCCATTTGTGGAGTGAATCAGCAAATGGGAGACCTTTCTCTCTATATTTGAGTTCCTGCCACTTTCATGGGAGACTAAGCCTGGTCCAGCCCTGGATGTTGCAGGCATCTGGGGAGTACCCCAGCAGATGGAAGATCTCTCTCTCTCTCTCTCTCTCTTTCTTTCTCTCTTTCTTTATCTCTGTTTTTTTCAAATAATAAATCTTTTAAAATGTTTATTTTGAGGGCCAGTGCTGTGGCATAGTAGTAAGCCTCTGCCTGTGGCTCCAGCATCCCATATGGGCACCAGTTCATGTCCCGGCTGCTCCTTTTCCAATCCAGCTCTCTGCTAATGGCCTGGGAAAGCAATGGAAGATGGCCCAAGTGCTTGGGCCCCTGCATCTGTGTGGGAGACCCGGAAGAAGGTCTTGGATCCTGGCTTCAGAGCAGCTCAGCTCTAGCCATTACGGCCATATGGGGAGTGAACCAGTGGATGGAAGATATTTCTCTCTGTCTCTCCCTTTCTCTATCTGTAATACTACCTCTCAAATAAATAAATATTTGTAAAAAATAAAATAAAAATTTTATTTTGGTCCACATATTCTGTACCTATTTATTCTACAAGAGACTTTTAAATTCTGATCATTAGTGACTCTTAGCTCTTGACGAGAAATGATAATCAAAAGAGCAGTTATTTAAATCCATAAAAGTATTGGTTTACTTTCACTCTTGATGCATGGACTAAATTCCAGCATAATCAGATGTCACATGAACCATGAAAATTATAGTAATTAAAGTGGTTTAGTTTCCAATAGTCAATATAAAGTCAGGAAATGAAACTAATATAGAATTAAAATTCTATTTTAATATATATATATTAAATTGTATAATTTTGGTGCATATCCATTTTTATACATTATAGACTTATCTTCTGCAACTCTCATCTACCCAGTCTTGTATCCCACCTTCTTAAATTCATCCCTCCCCTTAAATTAATCCTACTCATTCCTGTTTCCAAATATATCGAAAGTCCCCTCTATTAGGGTACTTTTCACTCAAAAATCCCTAACTTTTAAAAGCCCTTCTTGATAGAATCATTAGAATGAATCTCTCCTCCCACATACTTTCAGAAACGTTAACTTTACCAAAATTAGATCCTTTACCACATTTTGGGGTGCAGTTATTGGTGCATCTTTCTCATTTTTCATGAGCTCAGACTCAAAAAATTCTGTCTCACTTTTCTTTCTCTCCAGTACCAAACACACCATGTGTGCAAATAAATATTCAAATTGGGTTAGGATGGAAAGGAATGGAAGTAGCTCCAATGAGAATTAATTTCAGGCACAGGGTAAGCAGGTGGCACAGCTTTTCTAAAAGCTCGAGGATTCTCTTTGGAAGATAGCAAAATGACTCAAGCTCATAAGACCCCCAATACAAGGAAGAATATAACCGTAGAGAAACAAAATGGAGAAGGAGAAAAAGGATTGGTGCCAACTCAAGGAGCATTCTAGCAAGAACCTGAATGCACTCACTCTCCTAGAACTGCCTCAAATATTCTCTTCTTGCAAGGAAAACCCAGCAAATCTGTCACCATAGTCAGCCCAGTTGAATGTGAAGCAGTAAAGCATGACAACCCACCACCACATACAGTAGTAATATACATCATGTTTAAAGCTCTTCCATATGCATTACCACATTTCATTCTTGGATACACTAGTCAGTGCATAAGATAAGTTTCATTTTGCCTTTTTATTTCATAAATGAAGAAAGCGAGTCTCAGAGATTGATAATTTTCCTAAAGTCATATCAGTTTATATTTATAGTGGAGCTGGAACTACAGGCTGTATCAGAACTGGAGGTGCCAACCACTCTTGTACTTTTGTAGGAGTAAGATTCCCAGGTCTTGACTACGATTTACTCTATATTGACTAAGATAGAATCTATATTGGCTAAGATAGATAAATAGTTAGATAGATAGACAGACAATTTCAAACATAAAAGTGAGATCATAATGTTTTGCTTTCTGAGTTTGGCTTACTTCAGCTTACATATGTCCTACAGTTTCATTCATGTATTAGAAAATGGCAAGACTCCCTTCTTTTTTAAGCCTGAATGATATGCAATATATGTGATCCATTCATCCTGGCAAAAGACATTCAGGCTGTCTCCATATGTTGGCTATGATGAATAATACCAAAATGAGCATGAGAGTGCACATATCTTTACATAGTAGTGATTTTATTTGCTTTAGGTATTTGCTCAGAAAAGGGGCTGTTGACAGATAGATAGACCAATGAAACAGAATAGAAAAACCAGAAATCAATACAAACATCTACAGCCAACTTATATTTGATCAAGGATCTAAAACCAATTCCTGGAGCAAGGACAGTCTATTCAATAAATGGTGCTGGGAAAACTGGATTTCCACATACAGAAGCATGAAGAAAGACCCCTACCTTACACATTACACACAAATCCGCTCAACATGGATTAAAGATCTAAATCTATGACCCGACACTATCAAATTATTAGAGAACATTGGAGAAACCCTGCAAGATACAGGCACCGGCAAAGACTTCTTGGAATGGACCCCGGAAGCACAGGCAGTCAAAGCCAAAATTAACTATTGGGATTGCATCAAATTGAGAAGTTTCTGTACAGCAAAACAAACAGTCAGGAAAGTGAATAGGCAACCAACAGAATGGGAAAAAATATTTGCAAACTATGCAACTGGTAAAAGTTTAATAACCAGAATCTACAAAGAGATCAAGAAACTCCACAACAACAAAACAAACAACCCACTTAAGAGATGGGCCAAGGACCTCTATAGACATTTTTCAAAAGAGGAAATCCAAATGGCCAACAGACACATGAAAAAATGTTCAAGATCACTAGCAATCAGGGAAATGCAAATCAAAACCACAATGAGGTTTCACCTCACCCCGGTTAGAATGGCTCACATGCAGAAATCTACCAACAACAGATGCTGGCGAGGATGTGGGGAAAAAGGGACACTAACCCACTGTTGGTGGGAATGCAAACTGGTCAAGCCACTATGGAAGTCAGTCTGGAGATTCCTCAGAAACCTGAAGATAACCCTACCATTCAACCCAGCCATCCCACTCCTTGGAATTTACCCAATGGAAATTAAATTGGCAACCAAAAAAGCGGTCTGCACCTTAATGTTTATTGCAGCTCAATTCACAATAAAGCTAAGACATGGAATCAACCTAAATGCCAAGCAACAGTAGACTGGATAAAGAAATTATGGGACATGTACTCTATAGAATACTATACAGCAGTAAAAACCAATGAAATCCAGTCACTTACAACAAAATGGAGGAATCTGGAACACATCATGCAGAGTGAATTAAGCAAGTCCCAAAGGGACAAATATCATATGTTCTCCCTGATCGGTGACAACTAACCAAGCACCAAAAAGGAAACCTGTTGAAGTGAAATGAACACTGTGAGAAACAGTGACTTAATCAGCCCTTGTCCTGACTGTTGATGTACAACTTAATACTTTATCCCTTTTAGTATTTTTTGTCCGACTTAATACTATTGGTTGAACTCTGTAATTAACACACAATTATTCTTAGGTGTTTAAATTTAACTGAAAAGTGATCCCTGTTAAACATAAGAGTGGGAATAAGAGAGGGAGGAGATGTACAATTTGGGACATGCTTAATCAGACTTGCCCCAACTGGTAGAGTTAGAAATGTGCCAGGGGATTCCAATTCAATCCCATCAAGATGGCATGTACTAATGTCATCTCACTAGTCCAAGTGATCAATTTCAGTTCACAATTGATCATACTGATAGGTCTAAGAGTCAAAGGGATTATACAAACAAGACTAGTGTCTGCTAATACTATCTGATAGAATTAAGAAGGAGAGAATGATCTAACATGGGAAGCGGGATACACAGCAGACTCATAGAATGGCAGATGTCCTAAACAGCACTCTGGCCTGGCATCAGCCCTTAAAGCATTTGGATCTGGCTGAAGAGCCCATGAGAGTATTTCAGGCATGGAAAGCCAGGACACTGTGGCAAAAAAAAATCTAAATGAAAGATCTCTGTGAGTGAGATCCCAGTGGAAAAAACGGGCCATCAAAGAAGGAGGTACCTTTCTCTGAAGGGAGGAGAGAACTTCCACTTTGACTATGACCTTGTCGGAAAAAGATCAGAGTCAGCAAACTTAAAAGGCTTCCATAGCCTTGGCAACTCATGACAAGAGTCTAGAGTGATTACTGACACCATAAACAAGAGTGTCAATTTATTAAGTCAACAACAGGAGTCACTGTGCACTTATTCCCTATGTAGGATCTCTGTCCTTAATGTGTTGTACAATGTGAATTAATGCTATAACTAGTACTCAAACAGTATTTTATACTTTGTGCTTTGGTTGTGGGTGCAAACTGTTGAAATCTTTACTTAATTTATACTAAATTGATCTACTGTATATAAAGAGAATTGAAAATGAATCGATGCAAATGGAACGGGAGAGGGAGCGGGAGATAGGAGGGTTGCGGGTGGGAGGTAAGTTATGAGGGGGGGAAGCCATTGTAATCCATAAACTGTACTTTGGAAATTTATATTTATTAAATAAAAAAAAGAGGGGTTGTTGAGTCATATGATAATTCTATTTTTAATTTCCTTAGAAACCACCACGATATTTTCCATATTGGCTGTACCAATCTACACTTAGACCAAGAGTGTTTTTTTTCCAGACCCTCACCAACATTGTTCTGACTTTGATAATAGCCATACAATGGGTATAAGCTGGTATTTCATAGTGGTTTTGATTTGCATTTCCCTAATGATTAATGATGCTGAGAACCTTTTCATATATGTTTTGGCCACTTGTATATCATCTTTGCAGAAATGTCTATTCAGGTCCTCTGTCCATTTTCTTATTTGCATTTTAATTCTTCTTGCTGTTGAATTGTGGGAGTTCTTTATAAGTTTTGGGTATTGGGGTGGACATTTGGACTAGTGGTTAAGATGCCTGGATCCCATATCCTAGTACCTGGCTTTGACTCCCAGCTCCAGCTCCCGATGCCAGCTTCCTCCTAATGCAGAGCCTGGAAGGCAGCAGTGATGAAGTAACTGGTCCCTGTCACCCACTGGGAGATCTGGAGTGAGTTCTCAGCCCCTGGCTTTTGCTCAGCCCAGTTGCACCCACTGTGGTCATTTGGGGAGTGAACCAATGGATGGGAGGTGTCTATCTCTCTCTCTCTCTCACTGACTCCTTGCCTTTAAAATAATTTTATTTTTAAATGTTTTATATCAATCTCTTATCAGATATATACTTTGCAAATATTTTCCCACTCCATAGATTGCTTTTCCATTGTTTTCATCATTCCTTTTCTGTGCTGAAGCTTCTTAGTTTGATGTAGCCCCATTTTTTATTTTGCTTTTGTATCCTGAGCCAAGAAATCATTGCCAAAGCCAATGTCAAGGGGATTTTCTCCTATGTTTTCTTGGTTTCAAGTCTTAAATTTAGATCTTTTATCCATTTTGGATTGATTTTTTTGTACATGACAAATATATATAACACTTATTTTTCAATTTAAAAAAGTTAAAAGATGATAACTTTGTACAGAAAACTAAGAAACAGATGCAATTGTTTGGTAATAAAATTATCCTTTTAAAACATACCAGGGGATTCCAATTCAATCCCATCAAGGTGGCATGTACCAATGCCATCTCACTATTCCAAGTGATCAATTTCAGTTCACAATTGATCATAATGAAAGGACTAAGAGTCAAAGGGAGCACATAAACAAGTCTAGTACCTGCTAACACTAACCGATGGAATAAATAAAGGGGAGAGTGATCCAACATGGGAAGTGAGATACTCAGCAGACTCATAGAATGGCAGATGTCCTAAATAGCACTCTGGCCTCAGAATCAGCCCTAAAGGCATTTGGATCAGGCTGAAAAGCCCATGAGAGTATTTCAGGCATGGAAAGCCAAGACACTCTGGCAAAAGATCTCTGTGAGTGAGATCCCAGTGGAAAGAACAGGTCTTCAAAGAAGGAGGTACCTTTCTCTGAAGGGAGGAGAGAACCTCCACTTTGACTATGACCTTGTCTAAACAAGATAAGAGTCGGTGAACTCAAAAGGCTTCCATAGCCTTGGAAACTCATGACTGGAGCATAGGGAGACTACTGATGCCATAGACAGGAGTGTCAATTGGTAAAGTCAACAACAGGAGTCACTGTGCACTTACTCCTCATGTAGGATCTCTGTCCTTAATGTGCTGTACACTGAGACTTAATGCTATAATGAGTACTCAAACAATATATTTCACTTTGTGTTTCTATGGGGGTGCAAACTGTTGAAATCTTTACTTAATGTATACTAAACTGATCTTCTGTAAAAAAAAAAAAAAAAAGAAATTATCAATTCCCAACTTGACTCTCACTGGGATTAAACATGACAATAGGTCTGATCTGATTTCATCATCATTTAAAAAATCATCTATTATTTTTCACTTTATGTTTCTGTGTGGGAGCAAACTGTTGAAATCCTTACTTAATGTATACTAAGCTGATCTTCTGTATATTAAGATAATCGAAAATGAATCTTGATGTGAATGGAAGGGGAGAGGGAGTGGGAAAGGGGAGGGTAGTGGGTGGGAGGGACGGTATGTGGGGGAAGCCATTGTAATCCATAAATCGTACTTTGGAAATTTATATTCATTAAATAAAAGTTAAAAAAAATTATCCTTTTATTGTGCTTTCAACAATTTGTCTATGTTTTTCAATCTTGTCTAGGTATACATTTAATTATTCAATTGTCTTAATTTAGCTATTGTTTCATCACCTTGGAAATTTCTTCATTTTTGCACTTGAAAAAACTTTTTAAACTATCATAAATATTTGTTTTATATAACAACTGTTGAAGGAAAAAAGTTCACTTCTGTTTAATTGTAAATTTAATGCTCACTCCTTGTACTGTTAGGCTATGCTTGTGTAAAAGTGAATGATAACAGCTATCTACTGAGCTTTCAGTAACCAATACTGAGACAACATAGTACCAAGGATTTACAAGATGTGTCAATGCTTGATCTATAGCATCTTCTCCCACTTAAATCTATGCCTTTTATTATTTTTTAATTTTTGTTAATATAAAAAGAACAGATATTATATATTTCATAGATACAATCCTAAGAATATAACTATTCTTCCCTACCGCCCTGCTTCCCTCAAACCTTCCTCCTTCCTTCCTTTTTTCCTTTAATTTTTGCAATAACATAATTTCAATTTACTTCATAATCACAGTCTTGGATGCCAGCACCATGGCACACTATCCCATCCACATGGGATGCTGGTTCTGCAGGCAGAGGATTAACCTAGTATGCCATGGTGCCGGCCCCTCAATTGCCTTTTCACTTTGTTCAGTATTTCCTTTGCCATGCAGCAGTTTCTTAGCCTGATATAATCCCATTTGTCTATTTTTGCTTTTATTGCCTGTACTTCTGGGGTCTTTTCTAAAAAGTCTTTGCCTATACCAGTGTCTTGCAGAGTTTCCCCAATGTTTTCCTCTAGTAATTTGATTGTATCAGGTCATAGATTTAGATCCTTGACTCATTTTGAGTTGATTTTTGTATAAGGTATAAGGTAGAGGTCTTTATACAGATTTAAGATAAGGGTCCATTATCATTCTCTTGCATGTGGATGTCTACTTTCCCCAATACCATATATTGAAAGAAAAAAAAAAAACTATCCTTTCCCTCATTGAGTCTTCTTGGTGACCTTTCTGAAAATGGGTTGACTCTTTGATTTACTTATGATATCTATTCTGTTCCCTTCATTTATGTGTCAGTTTTTATACTACGGCCATAATGTTTGGTTCCTATAGCTTTGTAATATAATTTTAAATCAGGAAATATGATGCCTCCAAATTTGATTTTCTTTTCTAGAATTATTTTGGCTCTTCAGGGTCTTTTGCAATTCTGTGTGAATTTTGGATTTTTTTTCTATTTCTCTGAATAATGCCATTGGAATTTTTATGGGGAATTCATTGAATCTATATATTACTTTGGGACATATAAACATTTTAACAATATTAATTCTTCCAATCTATGAGCATGGAATATCTCTCCATTTACTTGTGGAATCTTCCATTTCTTTCATCAATATTTTACCATTTTCAATGTACAAGTCTTTCACTTCCTTGGTTAAATTTCTTCCTATTTTTTATGCCACTGTAAGTATTATTTTTCTTGATTTCTTTTTCAGTGAGATCATTAGAAATCCCATGGATTGGGGCCAGAATTGTGGTACAGTGGGTTAAGCTACCACCTGCAATACCAGCATTCATAAAGGCACCAATTCAAGCCCATAGGCTCCACTTCCAATCCAGCTCCTTACCTATGTGCCTGAGAAAGCAGCGGGTGATGGCCCAACTACTTGGGCCCCTGCACCCACTGTGGAGACCTGGATGAATCTCCTGGCTCCTGGCTTCAGCCTGGCCAAACACCAGCCTTACAGCCTCTAGGAGAGTAAGCCAGCAGATGGAAATCTCTCTCTCTCTCTCTCTCTCTGTCTGTCCTCCTCTCTCTGTAACTCTGTCTTTCAAATAAATAAAAATAACTGCTTAAAAATTTAAAAGAAATCCTATAATTATACCAAGATGATTTTGTATCCTACAACTTTGCTAAATTCATTTATTAATTTTAACCGTTCTTTGATCCAGTTTTTGAGGTTTCAACATATATATAGGACAGATCTTGTCATCTTTGAATAGATATCATTTTACTTCTTCTCCAACTCATATGTCTTTTATCTTCCTGGTCTGATTGCTCTTGATAGTTATGCCACTACTGCATTGAATAGTGAGAGTGGACATCTTTAATAGAATGAGTAAGGGGTTGACATTATAGTGTAGCAGGTTAAGCTGCTGACTGCAATGCCAGCATCCCATATGGGCACCAATTTAGGTCCTGGCTGTTGCATTTCCAATCCAGCTCCCTGCTAATGCTCCTAGAAAGTGGCAGAGGATAGCCCAAGTGCTTGGGCTCCTACATCCATGTGGGAGACCAAGATGAAGCTCCTGGCTCCTGGCCCAGCCCCAGCAGTTGCTGTTATTCAGGGAATGAACCCGCAGATAAAAGACCTCTCACTCTGTCTCTGCCTCTCTTTCTCTCTGTAACTTTACCTGTCAAATAAATAAAATACATCTTAAGAAATTAATTAAATAATAGAATGAGTGAGAGTGGATACCAGATCTTAAAGGAAAATCTCTACATCTTCCCATGGAGTATGCTAGCTGTGAAATTTTCACAAATGGCTTTTATTTAGAATATATATTTATGTGTTATATGTAACATACTATAACATAGATTAAAGGATACAATATATTAAGCTGGCACTGTGGCTCACTTAGCTAATCCTCCACCTGCAGCGCCGGGACTCCAGGTTCTAGTCCCAGTTGGGGCACTGGATTCTGTCCTGGTTGCCCCTCTTCCAGTCCAGCTCTCTGCTGTGGCCCAGGAAGGCAGTGGAGGATGGCCCAAGTTCTTGGACCCTGCACCCAAGCACCCATGGGAGACCAGGAGGAAGCAACTGGCTCCAGGCTTCGGATTGGTGCAGCACGCCGGCCATAGCAGCCATTTGAGGGGTGAACCAATGGAGGGAAGACCTTTCTCTCTGTCTCTCTCTCTCTCACTGTCTAAATCTGCCTGTCAAATATATATATATATATATATATATATATACACACATTTCTTTAAGAACACTAGCAAAGATCCTATGATCTTAAGCAGGTTGTGAATTTTGGGTTCAGTAGGATAAATAGCGTGATAATTTAGCTAAAGTGACAATCTTAGGGGAAGACCAAATGACTAGATGATATGACATTATCTGCTGACTAGTCCAAATAGACCAATGGAAGGAACGTTTAAAAGTGACACCTTGTCACTATCCACCACACTGCTACCATCCCCTGGGTGTTAGCCATTAGGAAGTAAGAAAGAGCCAAACCAAGCCCTTCAGTTCTGAAGAAGAGAATTTGGAAAGTCATAGGTCATGGCTAGTGAAAAGAACCACACAAAAACTGCTACCTCCTTTCTGATAAAGGAGAAAAATTTAAAGACTTAGTTACAGGGTTGATATCCAGATTGTGCATGTACAGGTGTGTGTTTTAACACAAAGTGCAGCCAAGCTCAAAACTACCGCCAGACAAATAAAACCTAGAAACAAATTTTGACTCTGAAAAAATAAGTTGAAAATGAATTAGATTTGAGGTCTGACATTGTGGCCACAGCTGGGTAAGCTGCAGCTTGTGACACCTGAATTCCATAGTGGAGTGCCTGTTCAAGTCCTGGCTGTTCCACTTCCGATCCAGCTTCCTACCAATGTGCCTGTAAAAACAGCAGATGATGGTCCAAGTACTTGGTCTCCTGTCACCCACATGGGAGACTAGGATATAGTTCCTGGCTCCCGGTTTTGGTCTGGCCCAGCCCCAGCTATTGTGGCCATATGGAGAGTGAACCAACACTCTCTGTTTTTCTCCATCTCTCCCGACCCTCTTGAACTCTGTCTTTCAAACAAATAAATCTTTTGAAAAATGAATTATATTCTATCTGGAAAATTAAATCGATTTTATTATTATTATAACATCTTTGTCCTTTAAAGAAAATTTGATATAGCTTTTTTTAAAGTCAGGTATGAAATAATACTGTTGAAATAGAAATTAAAACCAGAAAAGAAAGAAACAAACATCATAACCACAAAGGATAATACAGTTACTGTGATTGAGTTATACGCTTGGCCCCAAGCTTCTTGGCAGCTAAGAACAAAAGGAAAACACAGTGAGTTATATAATGCCAAAAAAAAAAGAATACAAATGCTTCCAGGGAGAAAACCTTTGTTTCTGGTAATAAATTTTCCCAAAATCACTCATCACCAGATTAAACAATAATTGATAACAGTTGAGGTCTTGTGGACAGAGTTGCTTGAATACTTATTTCTTAAAAATTGCTATATTTCATCTCAACTTGAATTTATTTTTCAACACTTATTTCTGAAATATTAGCATTATCCTGTTGGTGTTACAATTGTGTCATTGTAGAAAAATATATAAGAACATGGACAATGTGGTAAAATCTTGCTTCTTCTCAGTTAGTCATAAACAAACATTCTACTATGAACAAGACTAGATGCCAGGCACAGCTGGATGCTAAGTGCCATAAACAGAATTGATTTTCATCCTCAGATCTACTAAAGGGTCTAAGGAATTGTCACTATGTTTACAAGCAAGTGAACTTCAAAAAAATAATAGTGTCAGTGGGGTTTTTAAATAGGTTGCATATTTTATTATACCCCCAAAACTTTTGGCATATGTTGTGTTTGTCTCCATTTTAATGTCAGAGTTAGGTAAATGGGTTTGTTCTTCCGTTGAATGATAGACAGAAATGTCTCTGCAAATGTGTGACACTGGCACCTGGGAAAGGCCACAGAAAAGATTAACGAGTGGAAGATGTAGGTTTATACCGAGAGTCAAAACAAGAGAATGCAGAGATCAACAAACGGGTGCCCACAGATGGTTAGAAGACACAGGAAAGGGACACAGGCAGATCTTTCAGGGAGAAGGTGAATTATAAAAAGAAATGATTGAAAATCCTGCTTTAACAGCAGAACGAAGAACAAACAGAAATCACAACTTACAATGACTCCAGATTCTGGAGACCCCTGGTGTTCCTTGGGATTTAAGAAAAGGTACATAATCCTAGATACATCACATTTTAAGTGCTGTGAGTTCGGAGTAATTGCACCCACATGAGCAGTCCAGACCTTGTGATTATTGCTACCACAGCCAAATAAAGTGGAAAGGAAAAGGGTCCTATAAGTGACTCAGTGCAGAAATCGGGAAAGACAAGCGAGTGACTAGATGAAGAGCAGCAGCGTGGATAGAAAGGACATGGATTTGGAATTTGAGGTGGATGTGAATCCATTTTTGTCACTTACCAGATCTGTGCTAGAGCACAAGTTACAAAACTCTTAAGACTCGATTTCTCCATTCATAAAACAGGAATGAAAACAGAATTCAAAAAAAAGGTAAATGGAACAGTGTAAAAAATATCTAACACAGCAACTTCTACAAAGGTTACTGATGCATTTATAGAGCAGTGGAAGACTAAGGTTAGGGGAGAGGGAAAGAGACAAGGAAAAGAGGAAGGCAGGAAAGGAGGGAGGGAGGGGGCAAGTAATGAAAGGAGGAAATTCCTATTTATGGAGTCTGTGAATAAATATCAACAGCCAGATAAGATAGGGGGAAAAAACCCATACTATTAAATACCATTGGGGGTCCGGCTCTGTGGCACAGTAAGTTAATCCTCCGCCTGCAGGGCATTCCATAAGGGGCCGGTTCTAGTCCCGGCTGCTTCTCTTCCAATCCAGCTCTCTGCTATGGCCTGGGAAAGCAGTAGAGGATGGCCCAAGTCCTTGGGCCCCTAAACCTGCATGGGACACCCAGAGGAAGCTCCTGGCTCCTGGCTTTGGATCGGCGCAACTCTGGCCATTGTGGCCATTTGGGGAGTGAACCAGCAGACAGAAGACCTTTTTCTCTGTCTTTCCCTCTCACTGTAACTCTACCTCTCAAATAAATAAGTTAAAATCTTTTTAAAAAAGATACCATTGGAAGACTTTAAGTAGAAATGCTCTTTTAAGATTATTGAATTCAGACCGGCGCCACGGCTCACTAGGCTAATCCTCCGCCTGCAGCGCCGGCACCCCAGGATTCTGTCCCAGTTGCTCCTCTTCCAGTCCAGCTCTCTGCTGTGGCCAGGGAGTGCAGTGGAGGATGGCCCAAGTGCTTGGGCCCTGCACCCGCATGGGGGACCAGGAGGAAGCACCCGGCTCCTGGCTTCGGATCGGCGCAGCGTGCCGGCTGTAGCGGCCATTTTGACGGTGAAGATCTTTCTCTCTTTCTCTCTGTCCCTCTCTCTAACTCTGCCTGTCCAAAAAAAAAAAAAGAAAAGAAAAGAAAATTATTGAATTCAGTTCCAGTTTTGTAGGTAGTTCAGTTGAGGCCAAAAGTTCAAGGTCACACTACAAGTTTCCATAGAACTCATCTCTGGAAAAAGTCTATAATTTGCTATGGTTTAGATATGGTTTGTCCCCCAAAAGTTCATGACCTGGAAGCTTGGTCCCCAGTGTGGCTGAGGTGGTAGGACCTTTAAGAGGTGGGCCTAGTGGAAGGCAATTAGGTGACTGGAGGGCTTCCCCATGTGAATGGATTATTGCTGGTCTCAAGGAGTGGGTTAGGTCTTGCAGGAGTGAGTGAGTTCTCAAGAGCGGATTCTAGGGAAGTGAAACCACCCACTGCGTTTGGTCCCTTCTACAGGGGGCCGGTTCCCTTTCTGCTGCTGCTTTATGCTGTGATGTTGGTAAGGGGCCTCCCCAGGATGCTGGTTCATCATGTTGGGACCCTCCAACCTCAAGAATTATGAGCCCAACACACTTCTTCACTTTAAAAGTTACCCAACCTCAATTATTTTGGTATAGCAATACAAAATGGACTAAGACATGGTTATTTTGGAAAAAAAAATAATTTCAGGCAAGGTTGGGTGATTTATTTATGGCCATAAAAGGGGGATGAACAGTAGCCCTTGCAGACTGACATTTCCAAAATTTAGTACCCGAATGTTTTGCCTAATTTGTCCTATTTGCCTGAAGATGTTATTCTAAATTCAATGGATAGCGTTCCACTCTCTGTTTAAGTATAAAGAATCTATTGAACATTTTATTCATTATAAGGCTGCCATGACTGGGCATGTAGCTTTTTGTAGTAAATAATTATTACCTTTTGTCCTTTAACCACTGTCTCTGAAGACAATTTAGCCCAGACATGTCAATTAATGCCAGAATCATTCATTGCTTCTTGGCAGCCAAGGCTTCTTGATACCTTTTTCCTCATCCCAGCCAAATCCAAACAGCTGTAATCCCAGAGATCCTTTTCAATGGAGTATAGCCTGCTTCCTATTTTTAAATTCTAGACAGAAAGAGTTTTTCTCAGTGGAAAAAAGGTGGTTTTTGTTTGTTTGTTTATTTTTTTGACAGGCAGAGTGGACAGTGAGAGAGAGAGAGACAGAGAGAAAGGTCTTCCTTTGCTGTTGGTTCACCCTCCAATGGCCGCCGCGGCCGGCACGCTGCAGCTGGTGCACCACGCTGATCTGAAGGCAGGAGCCAGGTACTTATCCTGGTCTCCCATGGGGTGCAGGGCCCAAGCACTTGGGCCATCCTCCACTGCACTCTTGGGCCACAGCAGAGAGCTGGCCTGGAAGAGGGGCAACTGGGACAGAATCCGGCGCCCCAACCGGGACTAGAACCCGGTGTGCCAGTGCCACAAGGCAGAGGATTAGCCTACTGAGCCGCGGCGCCGGTCAAAAGGTTTTTTTTTTTTTTTTTTAAGGAAATTAAATATTCCAGCCACTGAGGTATACCATTGTTTTTAACTTCCAGAATAAGTTGGAAAGAGCATACTTTCTATTCAATTTTTTAAAAGGCAGAGAGAAGAGAGAGGGCACACTCCTAACCATGGTTTCACTCCCCAAATATCTATGATAGCCAGGGCTGGGTTTGGCTGGAGCCAGGAACTGGAAACTCAAAACAAGTCTCCCACGTGGAAGGAATCCAGTCTCTTAAACCATCACTGCTGCCTCCCAGGGTCTGCTTTAGCAGGAAGGTGGAGTCATGAGCCAGAACCAGGGATGACTCCCAGACACTCTGATACGGGATGCAGGCACCTTAACTGACAGCTTAACTCCTAGGCTCAATAGCCACATCAAGGAATACTACTGGAATTGTTTGTAGAGTGTACATTTCAGTATATATGTAAAGAGTATATTTCAGTTCTTTCTTTCATTTTCCAAAGTCTAAATCACACACACACACACACACACACATTGGGAATGGGATTCTGGCTTATGCTTATTTTTTCATCAGCATACACAACTGCATTGACTCAGGTTGATTTCATCTAAGGAAAATCTCAAAGATTCTTGGTTCTACTTTTTAACCAGATTTCTTGATATTTCACTTGTGACCAGTCTCAATCTTAATTCAATCTGCAAATGGCAGTTAAGCATTTTCAAGCTCCTTAAATCTTTACAGAGAAGGGTCAGACAGGTTCCATCATTCTTCACTTGATCTTAGCCAAAAGGCTGAGAAGCTCGGTTCCATCATTCCTATGAATAAGTTTACCATCTAAAGAAGGTACTGAAATATACAAGGTACTGAAAGATACAAAGAAAAGATATCATTCTGTCTTACTGGAAGAATAAATTATAATATGAGTAATTTAGTCAATAAATGCTGAGTTATGAAACAGGACCTAAGACAGTTATGGAAGACCTACATCATCATGGTCGGTTTTATCAACATTAGGCATAACATATTTAAAATGCTTGTATGTGCCATGATCTAGCTTAAGTATTTTACATGTATTATGCATTCAATTTTTGCAACAACCTGTGAGACAGGCAATATTATCCTCACTTACAGAAGAGAAGTTCAGACAAGCTAAGTGACATGTCTTGGGTCACATAACTATTAGTAAATTTGAGATTGGAATCCAGACATTCTGTCTTCAAGATATAAACCCACAGGAGGCCCAAAAGAAGTAGACTTGAAGGATAAGATTTCACTAAGCGTAGAGAAGACTGGTGGGAGATGCAAGAGCAAAAGCACAAAGGTGAAAAGAGTCACAGCTGCCTGGAGTGGGGAAATACGAGATTGGAAAGACGAGCTGGGGTATCTTAGTGGTAACAACAAACCAATGAAACATTCATGCATGAAACTATCAAATCACAATGACATTTCAGAAAGATGAATCTATTAATAATAAGCAGGATGAATCCAAATGGCTAGAGGAGTAGTCAGCTGACCTTTATGACAAGTAAGCTTTGTGGACATAAAGACTTGAACAAGTAGTTAACAAGAAGAAAGCAATACATGCAAAACAGTACAAAAAGGAAGTATCAGATCTTTGCAACTGTATTAAGCTAAGGAGTCAAAAAAAAAAAAAAACAAAGCAAACATGTTTCTAAATTAAACTTGGACAAATGAGAATCTGATGTTACTCTTGACAAAAACTAGATAGTTGGTTTTGCAAGGACAATCATTTCCCTGAAATCACTGCTTCTTCCACACAAATGACTCTTCCTGGTGTTGTTATATCTTTAAAAAAAACTTATTTTTTGTTATTTGAAAGACAGAGTTACAGAGAGAGGTAGAGCCAGAGAGAGTCTTCCATTTGCTGGTTCGCTCCCCCAAATGACTGCAACGGCCAGAACTGAGCTGATCCGAAGCCAGGAGCCGGGAGCTTTTTCTGGGTCTCCCACGTGGGTACAGGGGCCCAAGGACTTGGGCCATCTTCTACTGCTTTCCTAGGCCATTGCAGAGAGCTGTATTGGAAGTGGAGCAACCGGGACTCAAATCAGCACCCACATGGGATGCTGGTGCTGCAGGGCAGGGCTTTAACCCGCTGCACCACAGCACCAGCCCCAATGTGTTGTTACTTCTATATTCAACAATCTAAGTTTGTAATTCCCAAAGCTTATAATTTGATCTTCTCTTACTCTTTCCCATAATTTACCTTATAGACAATTTATCAGTCTCATATCTTTACTGTTCATTTCTATGCTTATAATTCCTTAATTCTAGCTCTACGGCCACTAGCCTATCCACTGGAATGAATATATCTATTCTGGTGTGTTAACACTTCCACTTAAAGAAGCATCTACCATCTTGAGTTCATACATTCTCAAATAAGTCAAATAATGGCACAGTATGCAATGAGCAGTAGATCTTGATCTTAGTCACATGTGAGAATAAACTATGAAGAATTTACAACCCAGACATAGCCAACCACACTTCACAGTCTCCAGGAGAGAGCTGTGAATGCCTGGATTTGAAAACCTCCATGGGTCTTTCTATGAGTGTTGAGAATCACTGGTCCATGGTGAGATGATCAGCACAGCTACAGCTCAAAGTCTGGAAAAAAGCAAATATAAAAATCAGAAGTTCAAATTAGTCACCAAACAGAGCTCAAAGTTCTTTTTGTTTTTCAAGATTTTTATTTGTTTGAAATCAATTACCAAGAGAGGGAGAAACAGAGAGAGAGAGAGAGATCTTTCCATCTGCTGGTTCACTCCCCAGGTGATCACAATGGCCAGGACTGGACAGGCCAAAGTTAGGAGCCAAGAGCTTTTTCCAGGTCTCCCAAGTGTGTATTAAGGGCCTAAGCCTTGGGCCATCCTCCGCTGCTTTTCCCTGGCCATTATCAGGGAGGTGGATCAGAAGTGACTCCACCAGGACACAAACTGGTGCCCATATGGGATTGTAGGGTGGCACCCAAGTATTTGGGCCCTCTGCTGGAATCCATAGCTCCTGGCTTAGGCCTGGCCCAACCCTGCTTGTTGCAGCCATTTGGGAAGTGAACCATTGGGTGAAAGATCTCTCTCTGTCTCTCCCTGTCACTCTGCCTTTCAAATAAATAAACCTCTTTTTAAGAATTACAATTTGAGGATCACAGATTTCAGTAGAAACCACAATGTATTCCCATCAGGGAAGAGTTTAAAGGATCTATTTAAGGGTATAAAAAAAAAAGAGGAAGTTTACATGAATTCTGCAGGTTGTTTGTCAGGAATTATGACTGGAGGATAAATTTACTTTGATAGCTCATTTTCCCAGCACAGAAGAGCTCAGACCATACCATTGTTCTAGAAACGTGTTTAGTTGATAAAATACTCACAGTTTTTCTTCTCAGCAAATAACTTTATTTTGGCATGTCAGCAAGTTCATGGAGTGGTCACCACAGCACAAGATGGCGTCTGGGTCACAAAATGGAGTCATGGCTGCTAGCTTTCTTTCACAAGCTTTAGCCACTGGAAAATGGGATGGAGTCTCAGGATTTCCATTTAGCATCTATTGTTCTGTTCTACTTTTTTGGAATGTCATTCCTCTTCCACCACCACAAACAAACTTTCAACAGCTTTGGTTCTTCGGAGTATTCTGTTTCCATAACTTCAAGTCACAGGAAGGTTGCATAGAAGAGAAGGAATTATTGCTAATGAATTCTTCTCTTTTTCCAAAGGATTAACCCTGATCCATTAGAATGCTTCATTTTTTTCAACAATAAATATACCCCAAGGTTATTTTCCCTGGCGAATTAGCCAGACACAAATGAATCCTGAGTTTTCATGGCCTGACTTCAAAAATTTTTCTTTTACAATTCTCTGCCTGGCAGAATCTTCAAATCAAATTCTGACTCACACAGACTGCTCAATTAGGCACTCTGATGAAAAGAATGAGTCTCTCCAGGTGACGCTTGTTGTTGTAAGGCACCAACCAAGGAAAGGCGAATCCTAAATTTCTGCTACAGAGAAAAGTCTCACTCAGCCAAAGTAAAGTAAATACACTCAGACCAGGCACATTCTAAACATGGCTAACCCCCCTATCCAGATGTTTCGATGAAAATATCTCCAAATTAATTCCTTTTGGGAAGAAAAATTTTTGAAACACTAATGAAAACAAACCTCCACTTTTCATCAAATCTCATTAATTATTCCACTTTACTAAACAAAGAACTTATTCTTTTGCATTTGTCTTTTTCTCAGACATTAAAATCTCATTTTAATTATCAAAAGTAATAAACGTTACAATTCAAGAAGTCATCTCTAAGGAATTCAAGCATTTAATTGATTTTTAAAATCCAATCTATGTTGAAGGTAAATGAGAAGATTCAATATTATCTCATATTTACCTCACTTCAGTTTCTTAAAGGACCATCGTTCGCACTCATTCTCGCATCTGATTGCCAGAAGAAAGGTAGGCATAATCCTCACCATCTTGTAAGTGAGAAGGCTAAGGCTCAGAAATTTTCAGGGACCTGCTCAGGGTCACACAGATAATAAGTGCCAAAGGCCAAATCCAATTGTAGGATTCCAGACTCCAGACCCCAGACCCAATGATCCCTTCTTAACACCACTTCACTTATATATATATAACACCACTTCACATATATCATTTCAGCATCTAAGCAGAAGGTAATAGATCTCCCAGTACTGTCCATGTTTTCAAGGGATTATAAATCAATCCTTTCTCCATTGACTTAGTGATTGAATTCTACACTGCCTTACTGAATTGGCTTCCTTAAAGGCCACAGATTTTTATTTTTAAAAATTTAATGTTCAAGTAAGGTCATAATTCAAATGTAATAATTAGTCTTTTAGAAGTGATTAAAATAAATATTTCTAGCCAATACTATACCATACTATTAAACAATAAAAAAATCTAATACGTGGAGAGAACTTCTATATTGTTTATGGCCCTGTCTAAATAGTGATGGAGTTTGCAGACTCAAAAGACTTCCATAGCCTTGGCAGCTCATGACAAGAACTTCGGGTAATCACTGACATCATAAATAAGAGTGTCAATTGTTAAATCAACAACAGGAGTCACTGTGCACTTCCCATGTAGGACTTCTGTCTTTAATGAATTATGAGAACTAACTGTAAAACTTATCTTCAAACAGTACTTTATACTTTGTATGTCTGTGTGGGTGCAAACTATTGAAATCTTTACTTAGTATAGAGTTGGTCTTCTATATATAAAGATAAGTAAAAATGAATCTTAATGAATAATGAGATGGGAGAGGGAATAGGAAGTGGGACAGGAGTGGGGGTGGGAGAGGGGGTATGGGGGAAAGAACTGCTATATTCCTAAAGCTGTACCTATGAAATGTGCATTCATTAAAATCTTCCTTAAAAAAAAAAAAAACTAATACTAGCTCCTCAATAGTAAGAAAAGAAAAAAAAAAAAAACTGATAGAAAAGAGACTCAGGAAGAGTCTCATGAAGTAAAAGCCATTGCTACACAGAGCCCAGAAAGCTTTCAGTTCAAGGTGACAGACCAAACACTTGTGTTTATATTCATTCTTTCCCCAATCCCATTTGAAAATACAAAAAAGGAATATTTTTTAAAGAAGAAATCTCTAACAGCCCTGGAAACATGAAAAAATATAATCAGTAGACCAGAAATTTTGAGGAAATTAGAAGCAGATGGGATCAGACTGACAGAAAATGCAAACCAGGGAAAATGCTGCACATAATAGGTGTGGGTGAGACATCTGTGAAAGCTGCTCGTCTCCAAAGACTCCATCCAGAGCTCTGACTCCACAAGTATGGGAGGCAGAGTGGGAGATGAGATCATCAGGATCTTCAGTTAAAGAAATACCTGTAGAACAGCTGAGCCAGCTGTGTCCTCTTCTCCCTGTCTCTGGATATATTTTGGCTGGGTATTTCAGAGGAACTAACTGAACCAGATTCCTAAAGTAGGGTAGAAACCACAAGGGCAGCAGAGTCTAAGCAAATGCCAGACATCCCCGAGATGCATACACAAGCATATACAAATTCACGAAAGAAAGAACAGTTATAGTTAAAAATAATCAGTTAACAACCATTAGAACTAATAAGAATCTCCTGAGGGACCAAGATACAGATCAGTATACCAAATAATGGTGTTACTATAAATCAACAATAACCCATTAAATGCTATAACATACAACATTTATAGTGACAACAGTTGAAACTTTTTGTATACATACATACAAGAATAAACAAGAAAGATGAAAAAAATTACTAAGCATTTTTAGAAAATCTCTTATAAAGATCTGAATAAAACCAAAACCCTTTTCCTTTTCTTAATAAGATTCCACTGGGCACCAGCATTGTGTTGTAGCAGGTATAGTTGTGATGCCGGCATCCCATATGGGCGCTAGTTCATGTCCCAGCTGCTCCACTTCCAGTCCAGGTCCTTGATGATGACCTGGGAAAAGCAGTGGAAATGGCCAAAGTGTTTGGGCTCCTGCCACCTATGTGGGAGACCTGGAAGAAGCTCCTGGCTTCTGGCTCCTGGCTCCTGGCTTGGGCCTAGCCCAGCCCTGGCCATTGTGGCCATCTAGGGAGTGAGCCAGCAAATGGAAGTTCTCTCTCTTCTCTGTATCTCTTTCTCTCTCTGTAACTCAACATTCAGGTAAAAAAAATTTAATAAATAGAAGATTCCATTGGTAAAGTAATCAAATTTTTGCCAATTTGAGAGCTATTAATTCAGTGCAATTCTGACAAAAATCCAAACCATTTTCATGGAATTGGAAAAGTTGATACTGAAGTTTATTTGTAATAGTAAATGTGACTCAAAGGAGTTTAAACGTTGTAAAAGAGTAAATATGAAGGGTTTTTCCTACCACACAGCAAATCAAACTACAAAGCTATGCTAATTAAAATGCAGAATCTACATTAAATTATGGATACATATAGACACATGAATAGATCCATACTAAGTCCATTAGCAACATGATAAAGGAAAGATAAACAAAAATAAATGGTGTTTTCCTAAACTTTGCATCTTCAGCAAATCAGGGCAGGCCAGCATAATCACTAAAAGCTGGAAGTCAACAAGATGATACAATTCAAGAACACCTTAAGTGCACTATTATGTATCCGTAAAGACCAGATGCTTGCAGTATCTGATAGTAGTATATAGACATATAGTAGGTATAATGTGGTTAAAGGTGAGCCTTTAGTTGTTTTTAAGGATAAGTCACAGGTTGCTTTTCCCTTCTGGCTTAAAATCCTTGATACTGATCAAGGGCTGAGAAAATACTTGCCCTGTGAACTTGTGGACCACGGATGCTCATCGTATACTACTAAAATTTGGGGACTAAGTCTTAGCCATGGGAGATTACACTGTGTATTGCAGGATGTTTAGCAGCATTGCTGGCCTTATTTTTATAAAAAAAAAAAAATCAAGTTATCTCCCTTGTTCAAAACCCTTTAATGACTTCTCACTAACTTACAACAAACCAAAACTCTCTACTGAGCTGTGGTTGCCAAAATAACATCCCACACAGATCTCTCCAACCCTGAACCCAAGTAAAACTGCCCTCCTTCTTCACAGGTGTGAAGCCAAAACTGTCCCCAGACATTGCCAAATGCCTTCTTGGGAGTAAAGAGGCCTCCAGCTAAGAACCACCACTACAAACAATTGAAAGACAGAAAAGGACACTCAATGGCATACATGGCCTATTTTCAAAATTGCTGACACAAACCTCAGATGGGCTCAGTGGCTAGCCTTGTCAATCATACTGCCACTCTCCTGGAATCTAGAACTATAGGGAATTATTTAACCCCTTTTCTTTTTCTCAAAACTCTATCAATTCATCCTCAATCCTCACTTCCAACTAATAGGTTTCCTTCTTATTTCATCACAAAAATAGAATCAATCTGAAAATAGCTTCCTCATATTCTTACCACAAAATCTACTTTGATTAATCGTGAGTTGCTCTACATTCAGCCTTTCCTCCTGTTGCAATGAACAATCCCACCCTGTTCACAAGGAAGGCCAGCTCATCCTTTTGTGTTGTGAAGTCCTTTTCCAGAAGCTTGCTCAAAGACTAGCTTCTGCGATCATAGCCCTTTCCTCTGCATATTCAACCTCTCTCTCCTCTAAATCAAGCCCATAAAAATGTAAACATCCCATTCTCCACTCCCTTTAGTGCAGTTTACTCCAAAGTACCATCACTATCTGCACTGCTCAGCACCCATTCTCCATCCTATCTGCCTTTTTCCTGCTTTTCTAATGAACTCACTCTCGTTAAGGCCATCAAGACCTCCATCTTACCTAACTCCGAGGTCTCTTTAGAGTCCTCACCAATTTCTCAGCAGTCTGATCACTTTTTTCTTGTAACATTCTCTCCCCAGGTTTTCTGGAACACTGTGTTCTTCCATTGTCCACCCATGTCAGTAGCTTTTCCTTTGATGTTGCCTGTCCTACCTCTTCCTTTTTACTCACTTCCAGGAGTTCATGCCAAAGGCTCTGTGCTCAGCTTCTTCTTTTTGCTACTACACTCTCCCTAAACTGCTTCTCCCAAAATTGTATTTCTTGCCTGTATAATTCCTCTGCTGTGCAGACTCACATATCCAACCATCAGCTCGGTCCTTACCCAGGGAGTATTTCATTCCACAGTAGGCAGCATGATTGCTATGCCTGCCCACATTTTTAGCTTTTAAATTTTGTGTAATCAGAGATCCTACCGACTAAGTTCTTCACCACAAAATCTAAATGAGAAAAGCAATATAAAAAGGAATATAATTAAGCAAGTATTTAAGGAATCTAGAAGAGAGAGAATGGATACATTCTGATCCCTAGAGGGGTACCTCTGAGTGGTCTCAATTGCCCAGTATGGAAAGGACTACTAGTGAGTCATGGATTGTGATCAACAGATGAGAAAGTGCTTCCAAAAAGGAATTGGAAGGGTGTTCTGGTCAGAACTGGTGACATAGGTGAATACTACAGGCGAGGAGAGGGGGAAGCTGAATAGCATTTGAAAGTTGGCAAAATAGTCGGACTAAACTCAGAGAGCACATAGGCTCAGTTGAGAGCCTTTCCTATCACAAATAATAAACATATACAGGGAATTTGCAATGCTGATGGAGAGATACAACAATCGGAAGCTGTTTGATGGTGTTTAAGATAGAAGAAAGTGAATATTCTTGTAGAATTCTGGGATGGCAGTGTAGATGCAAGCCTCTATGGTCTGAAAGTTTGGATCCCTCCAAAATGCAGATGTTGGAACCTTAACCCCTGAGCTAATGATATTAGAAGGTGAGATGTTTGGGTAGTGATTAGATCATAAGAGCTGACGCCTGATGAAGGGGATTAGTGCTCTTATATGGAGGCCCAGGGGAACTTGTTTACCCCTTGTACCATGTAAGGACACAATGAGAAGGCTCCATCTATGAACTAGGAAGCAGGCCCTCACCAGACACCAAATATGTTGGTGCTTTAATGGTAGACTGCCCAGCCTCTGGAACAGTCAGAAATAACTTTCTGCTGCTTCTAAGCAATCTGCTTTATGATATTTTGTTACAGTTGCCTAAATGGACTAAGACACAAGCTAACAACCTGGTGTGTGACCCAGCAAGGAGAGCTCTCTATTTCTGTTTGTGTCTCTTTCTCTCTGCTTCTCCAGTGCATAAATATTTAAATGAAAAAAGATCCCAAAACTTCATATCTTTGAAGCACACTTTTTAAAAGTCTCATGTAGATGGAATTCACAAACTACAGCATGAGTAAACTTTACCTGTATTGTCTAACATCCACACATATCATGAAAATGATGAATAATCACACATAACCACATCCTTAAGACTCATCTACATCAGAATTTCCTCACACTATTGACCACAGGATGCTGTAGGAATTATAAAATGTTGTTGAGACACCAACCAAGAATACATGCTCACTTTATGAAAAGTAGATTGCTTTTAAAAATGAATGCTTTGGGGCCAGGATTGTGGTGCAGAGGGTTAAGTCACTGCCTGTGATGCTCTCATACCACCTGACCATCAATTCAAGTCCTGGTTGCTCCCTGCTAATGAGCCTGGGAAAACAGCAGAAGATGGCCCAAGTACTTCTATTTATATAAGGAACTTGAGCATCCACTGAACGTATTTAGGAGTGAATATCAAGATGTTTTTATTTCACATTTACTGTAAAATACTTCTATAGAAATATATGTACTTACAAAGCATATAAAGCAAATTTTAAATATCATTTAAGCCCAAAGAGCAAGTGGGATAAGAGCTATGGAACCTA